CGGGCCTGAGCGTCCCTGCCGGTCCTCCTGGGCTCTCGCCTGGCCTGGGCCTCGCAAGTACCCGGGAGCCAGGGGGCCCAGCTGTCCCACCAGAGGCTCCAGGGGACGGGACGTCACTGGGCAGCTCTGCCCTGAGGCCCCCGAGGCGTTGGGGCAGAGGGGCGGTGGGGGCCGGCGCCTGGTCTTGCTCACCTCATTGGCCCCAAGGGGTGGGAGGGCTCACGAGAACCCCACATAATGGCTTAAAAAACAACAGGCCACGGAATAGCTGCGCTTTGGCTGCTGAGAGGTTCCAGGCGGTTGCCATGGCTACCCCGGAGCGCGTGCGCGGGCCAGGAGAGGGGCTCCGTCCACCCACGGGCTCGGCACCTGGACAGGCACCGACCTGGGCTGGGCCGGGGGGCGTGGGGGGGCCAGGCAGGGGCGAGACGCACCCCAGCCCTGGCCCTGCCCACACACACCTCGGCTCCCCGTTTAAGCTCGATCGTCAGGCTGCGTCTCCCTGGAGAGAGCAGCCCTGGGGTCAGTAAGGCAAGGGAGCCCCAAGCACAGGGCAGGTCACCCCAAAACAGCCAGAGAATGACACAGATGCCGGGTGACTCGCCTCGGGCTGATGCGCCCAGGGCTGCTGGGTCCCAGCCCCGAGAGCGGGCAGGTGGCGTCGTGCCCGGGCAGAGCTGGCTCCGTGCGGGCTGGCGGGTGCCTGGTGGCCTGTGCCAGCCTGCGCGTACCGTGTGCGTGCCCAGAGGGACACGCGTGTACACCTTGGGGCGCATGTATGCGTGGAGACGACACACGTGTATCCCCGTGCCGGTGCGTGTGCTGACCCCGGTGCAGAGCGGGCCAGAGGGCGGCGTCGGCGGCCACGGCCGCAGGGGTTGGCTGGACCGTCCGGCAGCGGGGGCAGCGGGTGTGGCCCCCTCAGCTCAGTGCCGAGCCAGGCCGACCCTAGAGAAGCCCACCTGCACCCCTGCCTCGTTGCAGTTAGCGCAGCCCACGGAGCCCCAGCGCCGTCTGGGCTCTCCTGGGGTGCAGAGGGTGTGGGGGCTCGGATGGAGACCGCAGTCACCCTGAGGGGCGCCCTGGGCCCCAGCACTTAGAGCCACACGTTTCACCATCTCAGAAAGTAGGGACGTCAGCGGAGCGCAGCCCAGCTCCGGGGCTGCCCCAGCCGCCCCTGGGGGTGGGAGGGACCTTGGCCGTGGCGCCTGCGGGGTCACAGTTCTTCCCGCGGCCACGGAGCTGCCCCAGTTCTCCCAGGGCGGGCGGCTGCCCCCACCCGGGCCTGGCCCCTCCAGCCTCCTTGTTCCCTCCGGGGCGACTCCAAGTTGCCTCCCCAGGAGGGTCCTGCCCAGGCACCACCCCGGGCAGCAGCGTCCACAGCTGCCAGTCCATGTCCACCGCCGCCCACCGCCCTCTCCCTCCACCTGACGGGCGCCCTGGAGCCGGCTGCCAGCCCAGGGCTCCCCGCTGCGCCCCACCACGCCCCGCCCCTGTGGCAGAGGCGGCGGCCGGGCGAGCAGCAGAGCCCGGGCTGAAGCCACTTGACAGATGCCAGCTGCCTCGAAAGGGCCTCAAACCAGCGCTCAGCGAGCTGCTTCCCCAGCGGGATGCAATCCGCCCTATTTATCCCCCAAATGTCCCAGAATTCCTGCTAGCTCCGCCCCTGGGTCCTCGCAGCTCTCTCCCGGGTGCTGCTGGGAGTTGTAGTTTCCAATCCCTGGAGCAGGGGTGGAGTCCAGAAAGCTGGAGGAGGGGGTGAGGTCTACAAGACTCTGCAGGGTTCCTTCCCCTTAACAATTAATAAAATAAATTGCTTTGCCCATGGCTTATTTCAGTCAGAAAAAACAAAACAAAACAAAAAACAACCCAGCCCTCAGCACCCGCGGGCGCCCCGGCCCCAGCCCTGGGCCGGCTCCGCGCAGCTCTCTGAGCGGGCTTCGAGGACCCAGCCGGCCCGAGGCCGCCACGTGCGGCGTGGGCCCCTGCCCCAGGGGCCCCCGCTTCTGGGACACGCTGAGTCACTGTGTGTTGAGAAGTGAAGGGTGCTGGGAGGGGAGACCCTGGCGGGAGACTCTGAACGCAGTGTTTCCGTGCAGGGCCTCGGCCCCAGGGAGACGCAGCAAAGCGGTCCGGCCGTCCCACAGGGGCCGTCTGACGGGCCGGCCGTGTGCGGCCCCAGGGCCCCCGCCCAGCTCCTGATGGGGCCCAGGTGCAAGCAGAGCAGTCGGGGCGGCTGGGAGGTGGGGTGCGGGGAGGCTGACTTGGAGCCCAGATGACCTGGCCAGGGGCGCTCACCCGGGCGAGAGGAGGACCCTCAGGGAGAAGGAGCTGGCTGCTCCAGAAGCCAAGCCGGCAGCGGGCACCGGTGGGCTCCCCAGTGTCCGGCCCAGGCAGGGCCGGGGCGGCACAGGACCCCGGGCTCACCTGGGACCCCTCCGGGCCACCCTTGAGTGCAGGAAACCTGGGCTTGGCCAACAGGCCCCGCCCCCCACCATGCCAGACCGCCCAAGCCCAGCACCCGCTTCTGTCCCGTGTGTCTGGGGAGCAGCAAGAGGGGAGCAGCCCTCCCTGCCCCCACTTCCCTGCCCTAGGCCAGGAGCCCCAGGGCACAGAGGCCCCCAACCTCCGAGCTCAGCAGGGCATGAGGCTTCGGGCTGGGGGGGTCCAGCCCAGCCGGCGCCCAAAGCATCTGCCGAGCTGCCCTGCCCGGCCCGTCCACCTCCCCACGGGGCCCCGGCAGCAGGAGCGGGCAGATGCCCTGCCGGCCCCTGCCCGGTGGTGGTGACGCTGCCAGGGTGCTCACGCGGCACGCGGAGACAGGGCTTAGACGGGCAGTCTGCTTAGCCATCGAGGGAATGCTCACGTGGGGAGTTCCGCGGAGGTAAAATTAAAGTTGACCGTATTTTTAATTTTGCAAACGGACTTGCGTGGAGCCAGGAACCTTCTGCCTGGTGCGTGTTTTACACAAACAAACGGAGCACAGGTGTGCGCCTGAGCTCGGCGCCGGCCTGCGGGCGGCCAGAGCTGCGGGCTCTGCGGGGAGACCTGACGCAAGGGGGCACCTCTGCGTGGGTGCACCCCGAGCCAGGCGGGCAGCAAGACGAGGCTGGTCCCCGCAGAGCAAGAGCCTTTGGAGGGACACAGCC